TCTGTGCCCTGTTGGTTTCTGTGCCCTGCTCTGGCACTTTTGGGTGTCTGTGCCCTGCTCTGCCCCGTTGGTCTCTCTGCCCAGGCACACACGGCCCTGCCTGGCTCCTCACCTCTGCATTTTCCCTGAATTCCATCTGATGCAGCTCCCCACAGCCCCCTCAGCCAGGGTTTGTGTTTGCTGCTCCTCCTGTCCTACATATGTCAGTAACTCCTGCAGAGTCAGGCTGTCTCCCCTGAAGAGTTTTGTGTTGTCATCACTTCTGAGCCCCACTCCAGTTGCTGCCCCTGTTAATTCCCTGCAAAAGCTGCTCAGTTTGTGCCACCAGCAGGGCTCTGCTGGCTCTCCTCCATCCTTTGGCACACCACACAAAACCTATTTTCTGGACATAAAAACCGCACAATTTCTTGGCTGATAGATCAAATATTAAAGTCTTAGTTTTATATCAAATATAAAGTCTTAATTTTAATATTACAAATATTAAAGTCTTAATTTGTTATTAGCTGGTGGTGTGTGTGCTTTTGTGGAGATGCTCTTTGCCAAATACCATAATTCTCCCCAAAACAAATGCTTTCACTGCATTCTTTACACATTTTTGTGCCCCTGCTTTTTAAGCTCTTTCAGAATTATAACCCAGGACATTACAGAAGAGAGATTTTCATAGACACAAATGGAATTAAATGTCCAATTCAATTCACTTTTAATTGGACTGAGCAACTAGAAAGCCTTTGAAGAACTCTGCTACACTGAACCTCTTAATTTACCCTGAACCTGGTTGTTGATGAAAATCCCAACTCCTCAGTTTCCCTTTGCTCCAGTGGCCACATTATCACCCACAAATATCCAAGGAGTCTGGTGTTAGTTCAGTTCATACCTGCCTGAGACACAGACTTGCTCTGATTTTCTACCTTATGGTCAAACAATAGAGAAATGTAACTACAATGAGCAGGAAAATCAATAACTTTTACATCACTCTTATTTTAGCAAATAAGTTATTTGTTAAATAAGTTATAAATTTGTCAAATAAGTTATTCTATGTTTCAGTCAAACATGATTTCCTATTGCCAAAAAACCTCCCTGTTTTGTAGTGGAAATGGACAAGTGGGGATATTTTTAGTAAAAGGAATATTTTTGAAGTTATTTCTTTAAATTATAGTTGTGCTCATTAGGACAGACCTTAACAAAATGCAGTTCCTGATTAAAATAATTACAGAAACTTGCACAAATTTCCCCAGTTCTTTTTGATGCATATAAAGATAAGTAAAACAGATCTTTAATATATCAGAAAGGGAAGCATCCAGCCCAAATCTGGTACCAGGGAGGAGTCAAAAATAGAAGTCCAGTTTGCATCTCTGAGAAGACAATTGGGATTTTGGAGATTCTGGCTCAAGGCATGGGAGATGTCCTAAACCAAGGATAACAGGAGCACCTTTCCCCCACATTCTCTCATTTTTCTCTCCAATCCATCCCCTTGGTGTGTTTCTGTGGTGGGGCAGGGCTGAGCAGGGCAGCCCCTCGAGGCTGGCTGATCTCTGCCCCTGCTCGCCAAATGCAGATTTCCCTCTCTGCCTTTGCATTCCCCATCTCCTGATAAGGGAGACAAATGCTCTCTCACTGCCAAGGCCTCCAGGGAGCTCTGGGGTGCAGAGGATATGTGGTGATGGTATCTGGAGCAGTTTGTCCCCCTGCCCCTGGCAGGATTGATTGCTGTATCAGGAGTGATCCCTGATGGATGGCTCCTGGGGCTGGGCATCACTTAGAAGTGAGGATGATAATTCACTTTTACTGATGCCACTGAAAGGGGAAGTTAATCTATTAAATTGTTTGGAAGTTTTACAATTCCCCATGAAGTGTTTCAAGCAGAGCTTCTCCACCTCTGCCATTGCCTGACCTGCTCTTTCCTCTCCTCCTGCTCTTCATCCATGGATTGAGCTGCTGGCCTCGAGCAGGGCCTGCAG